CTATCCAGCTCCACACGTCGAGCTTTCTTATCCTGCAGGGCTCAAAGAAACAAACAGACTTGTAGTGTGCAAGCCATGCCTTGGCCCAGGTGGATGCAGTCTCGAAGTCCTGTCAGGCTGCAGCACACTTGCTGGCTGTACCCACAACGCACGGAGCCTCAGACACGCTTCGCTTTTTGCCACCCATCGGAGTAGCCTGTTCGGGCAGACGGAAACAATCAGGGGGTTGAAGATTCAAACTGTTTGCCTGTTGGTCATCCCGTTGTGGTGCTGCAAGAGCCTTCATTGAAACCATGTCCACCTGAAAACAAATAACTTTTTGGCACTGAACTGTAACTAATTGTGTGGATGCCTTGTGGGTGAATGTCACCGCGGAAGAGAGCGCCTGACCAAAGGCAATGAACACAGAATCACTCGACTTCCTATACTGAGCCTTGTCGAGGTGCACGTCCTTCAATGCAGCGTGTTGAGGTGGTGCGGGATCCTGGAGCGAATGAGTGATCAGCCAATGACATATGACTGAACTGGGCGTCCTCCAATAAAAGTGAATCAGTGGGAACCTGCACAGCAGGACCAGGATCAGGATCCTGGAAAGACTGACTGTAAATCAAAATAAGTAAGATATAAATAGTCCTGGGAGTCTTCCACCCAAATCACCTCGGACTTTGGCACATTGTTCTCCTCTCAGACAAGTTCCATTCAATCACAATCACCCCCAGCACCTTCAAGTCCAAACACGCCTCCAATCCCAAAGTGGCTGGCGAATCCACCTGCATGTGAAAGTTTACAGGTCGATAGCTTCCAAATAATTACCCCCCTGGCCTGGGTGTCCTGAAAGGTGTCATCAAAGGTGTCCAGGTAGACCTGGGACTGGTACTCCTCGAAATCCTGAAGCAGTCGAGGCTGACTGGTGGATAAAAGAAGGCATTCTTGTGGATCAGTCTGGGGCCTGAGCATTCTGCCGCCTGCAACGTGGTTTGAAAAAGAACCGTCATTGAGTTTTTGGGTGGCTACAAAGCAAGCTAGGCCTGTACTTCGACGGGGGGGAGCTCTTCAGGCGGCTGATCCACCGGTTCATCTTGTAACTAGAGCCACAATAAAAGCTCGGTCACAGGAAGTCTATGGGTCAACTGCTATGAGTCCAATTGCTTGGTGTGACTTGACGAGATGTATCCGTAACCACCCGGAGGTTTCTTGGGCAGTCTGCCAGCCAGCCAGAGAAACTTAAAGTTCACTGAACTTCACGTTGTGTTTTCAAGTCGCTCTAAAATTTAGGCTTGTTGACACACCCAGCCTTGTCGGGCCATGAACATGAACGCATGAGGGTGTCGCTGGTCATCGCCCCTCAGGCCGCCTTTGAACTGGACCGGCGGCTTCTCCGTCCTCGAGAGAGACAGAAAAAAGATGGGTTGCGTTGGTGGTCCGACGGAGTGTGTTTGTTTGAAGACAGGGTACCATTCTTTCCAATCCCTCACAGCACTGATCAGCTCCACATGAATTTGAGCGGATCCTATCCACTCCTCGATGTTAAGTCTTGAAAGTATATGGCGAACCTTCCTGAGCTGTGATTTCAAAAACCTTCATTGTGCAATAGACGCACAACAGAACTGATTGATCCCAAGTGACACACAAACGTCATGGGCATCACACAAAAGGTCGATGTACTTGAATGACGCTGCCAGTAGCCCGAATAGTTGGTCTTAGCTGATAGGAGATTTCATTAGACCAGAGTCATTGGAAAGAAACATCAACTGTGGCGGAAGTTTCAGACAAGAAACCTAATGCACAATGAGTGTGTCCCACTCGGGAAAATAATAGTGCTCCAAAACGAATGAGTTGTTTGCAGATGAGGCTGGTAAAGAATTTCAGGCACGGGTTGTTGCGGCTCTCGCGCACCGTATTGTCTGCCTAATCAGGTCGCATGGCAAAGGTCGTAGTCTGACTTAAACCTACTATGACTGTCGCCCAGCGATCAATGAAGGCAATTAATGAAAGCAAAGGCGCCCAGCAAAAGAGCTGCTCAGGGAAGGCCTTGCCTTTCTGGATGAATTTCTGGTGAGTTGTTTCAAGAACTCTGTTCAGGCACTCCAGTATCAGACTGCTGTCTGCTGCCACATTTGGGTGGCATACGAACAAGTGCAATCCTATCTGGTGAGCCCAGACTGCATGGATCTTGACCCTCGGACGCACCAGTCCGTTCACTTCCTTGCAGGACTGAACAACCCTCTGGCGAGGGACGCTCCATTTACTCTGGTCCATGCCATCCTTGGCACGCAATCAAAGGCAACAGTCAACTCATCCTCTACCTAAGTCTGACTTACATACCAGTCAGTGACATTGAATGACAGCCAAAACACCATGTGGATGCAAATTGGCGCTGACGGGTCGTTCAAAGGATTCTGCTTTTGAAGCATCTCCTCCAGACGCCTGTCTTCACAGACCGATTGAATGTGGCCCTTATAATCAGCAGCAATATCAAACCTGCTCTGGGCATCCTGAGAGGAAGAGAGGAAGCACAGGAGTGAGAAATCTTATCACATCAAAATGGCTCATTTCTGAAAAGGTTCATGGGCCCTTTTGAAGCGCTCTTTCATGTCCAAGCACACGTCGCATGCAGAATGACTACTAGGAGGGGTGAATCGAAGCGTGTTCCTCCACACAGTAGTATACCGCCTCCAAAACGTCACATACCTGTGCGCTGAGATGCATCAAACCCACTTTAAAACACTCCATTCTGATCATTGTCTTAAAATAGCCTAGACACGATATGCCAGGGTGATCCTGTGTAAACTGCCAAAACAGCATCTTGCAGCAACCAGGTGGCAGCCACCTGGTCGGTAGCTTGCTCACCTCATTCCCGAACCCGCTCTCCACATGCCTGACAAGTGGAGGAGACAGAACACACGAATGCCTGACAAGCAAAGACACTGAACTTGCCTCAGAAAGTAGGACTGAGATCCAACCACGTGGAGGCGTAACTCCTCATCGTCCTCAATGCACTCGCCACAATAGTCCTGCAGCTGCTCACCTGAATGGCTGGCCGCTGCTGGAAGACTTGTAAGTGACCACAGCGGCAACACATTGACATCTAGACGACGTGTTTTCAGATTATGGGCAAGCTGCAATCTGAGTCTTCATCACTCTCTTCCTCATCGCTGTCATCCTCCCCGCGAGCAAAGAAAACAATCGTTTTTTCATTGCCCTTGTTGGAAAGACCTCGCTGGAAGCCTCCTCGTTGGAACCTACAGTTCAAACATTTGCCATTAAATTCAATGGATGACTTTTGAACAAACTCCACACCAAAGATGAAGGCAAGCAGCTTGTTCGGCAACATGCCTGCTGCACCCTCGTACAGCTTAAGCAAATACATATCCACTGTTCTCCGCTTGACTGTGCTGAGACCCTTTGCCTAAGGCAAATGAACAAGCTCAATGCCTTCAGCAGGAATCCCTACAAACAAACCGAACATGTTGCAATCTTGTGACAAGGCGATGGCCAAAGCAACCAAATCGAAGATCAGGAATTCCCCTGCTTGTCCTCACAAGCCTATCGCACCCAATCCCCAGCAATGTGGCAAAGCATTTTGCTGAGATATCACATCCCAACAATCGCCAGCATCTTCTCACCCCATGAGATCCGGCAAGTTGATGGATCTTGGCTGGAAGCTATTTATTAGAAGATCAATGGACCAAAGCAAAACAATGAATGAAGAATAAGGATGATGAATAAGGATGAATAAGGTCTGGACGTACTCGTCCTGCTTCAACTTTGGTAAGCCCCAAAATCCGTTGAGGAACTGCACAAGAGCTCCACCCTGAGCGCCTGCAAACTGCTCATAGCAGTTCGAAGAGCATCTACAGCGTCCAGAACGTAGCAGTATCTGGACACGCTCAGGATTGAGGCCGTTCGATACTTGCCTCAAGCGCTTTCCACGCGTTCAGAAATAACATGACATGACTTCTGATGCATTTCTTCAAAACAAATAAGGAAAAGAGTAGGCGTAATGAACGATTCAGTCACTGCCGTCTCTCTTCCGGCTGCATTGCCAAGAACTTTCTCTTGCGACTATCATAGTTTGGCCTTTTGCGCTCTATGGTATGATGACCAACTCCCGCTAGTGTTGAATGGATGACACATTGGTTCTTGAACTGAGAAAGGCTTTCTGATGAAAAGTTCACCAGAACGTCATCTTCCGGCTCCTTGGGCGCCAAGCTCCGTAAGAAGGATTGTCTGGAGGTCGCGTCAATGACAGCGGAACTGGAGCTGGAACCCCTCAAGCCATGGAGAAACCTAAGGCCCAAAGATTAAAAAACAAAATGGATCTTTAAAATTGGATATCATATGAGAGCAGCTGGAACAAAGACTCACTTGTTGCAGCTCTGTAGCTTCTTCCTTGCCTCCATTCAGCGGGGGCCCCCAACACTGAGCCAAATTATGGCTTAGGGGGAATTGGGCGGTACCTAGACCTGAATGCGATGAAACGACTCCTGAATGCAATGAAATCTCCTTAGTTGTATAATATACAATATAATGTACAATATAATATATATATATATACATATATCTATATCTATATATATATACATATTTACTCTATCCGATGTCTCATCATCAACGGACCCTGCTCAGCAAGTGCTCTCTGCCTGGCTACAGTTTTACAGTGGCAACCGGATCGAATGGTCACCCAACCTCTCCAGTGCCAAGTACATCAAAGGAAATCAACTATATTGCAACTCGACCAAAAAACAGTGTCCGAACATGTGTTTGTCTCAAAAAGCATGAAAATACGAGACATCCTCATGACGAATGACCATCTCAACTTGACTCCAATTGTCTTCAAATCTCCTACCTTTCAAAACAAACGGTATCAACCATTCCATCATATTCCATGCTGAACCGAACCATCCAAAAAAAACACAACACAAAACACACCACACACCTTCTCACCCCTTCCGCGCTGTGCTTGGCGGCACCGTCGGCACTGGCCCCGTTTCGGGCACCTGCCGGCAGCTGCCTGCTGCTGCTGCCGCGCGCGCGGACCAGCAGCGCGCGAGCGCCTGCCGCGGCGAAGCGAAAGGCCAGCTGGGTCAACGGCTCGGAGTCGTCCTGGGCGAAGCTGCTGGGCGCAGGCGAAGGTGCTGCCAAGAGGCGCGGCGGTCGGGGGTTTTCGGGGGGGGATAATTCAAAGTGGATGTCAACAGGTCCTAGTGATCTGAGTGGATGTTAACATGTGAGCTTTCGCAAAAAGGGGGATGTCCTGATTCAATAAGAGAAGTCTGAATGGTGGCTGACATGCGTGTACCTGAGTTGACCTTATCAAATGTCCCTTCCGCCATAGTTTGCAGAGGGTCTCCATGGTTGATGCAAATGAGGGATGGACGCGCTCCAGATGTCCATCGGCAGGTGGGGGCTCCAGACAGATTCTGGAGAACCTATTCATGAATTCTGCCACATGCGCACGATTTGCAATGCTCAAACAGTTGAAGAGTGATCGCCGTCAATGCGCGGGATTTCCTTCCACGCAAACCTGTCCTCCAAGAGAACGATACAGCCGTCCACGTCAGCACACCTGCAAAGCAAGACGAGCCACGAAGGACTCAATGAGATCTCTGGGACCGCAATGTGACGAAAGGCTCACTGAGGCGATCATTAATATGTCATTCATATGTAATTCATAACATCCATCCATCCATCCATCCATCCATCCATCCGGACGTGACTTACCTATTCAAAAGCAGAACGAGTGCTGTACGCCTTCCAACAAAAACACGGGCAGCTCTGAGAGAACCTCCGAACCCCGAACCCCGTCGTCCTGTTTCTCGGATTGGAGACCTCTCGTCTTCGACGCGGTGCTCACCTGGTGCTCTCCCGCTGCACCATGGGCCCCCGGATGTCTTCGCCCGCCATCTCTCCGTTCCAGTAGGCCCGCTGCGTGGCGATGGGACCGTGGGTGCTCAACCCGTTGGACCCATCTGGAACCTGGCGAGTTCAACGAAGAGACGCGCGCGAGAGACCAACGTTGGAAGAGGGATGCTCGGGTGCATCCGTTGGTGGGATGCTCTCTCTATCTATTATATTGGTTCTTAAGTAATTGAACCTTGGGAGATTACAGTCACAAGGAAACTTCCCAAACCTGGGAGAAGCGGTTTATCCCAAGCGTCATGCAAAGTGCCATCAAACTACACCAACCATCTGCCTCGCCCGATGGTTGTGTCGTGCATCCAACACCCGTGTGTCGATCTGATCCCTTGGGGTGAATCCTGTTCTATATTTCTTTATCGTGGGTTGAGAGTATATATAGATGGCACACACCTTCAAATGTTGGTGGTTTATACCTTCGAATGTTGGTGAGTAGACTGGCACAGATTGGATTCAAATGCTGATGGTTTATACGGACCTTGATTTGAAGGACATCATATGGGGTCTGTGCGATCTCGTCTGAAACCACTGTATCTGATGGCTCATTGCGACACTGCTCTTGGGGCGCCCCGTCAAGTTGGACATGGGTGACAACATCGCAGGAAACGTCACAGGATTCACGGCATCCATGTAGGAAACCAATGTATAGTCTGTAGGAAAGCTTTCCATAGCTTCCCGTGATCCTCCACTGTACCATACTGTACCAAACTCAGGCGCCAATCCGAAGCCAAGCAAACGGATCCCAGGACAGTATCTCTGCATTGCTAAATTGGCTATGACTTCAAAGGCAGCATACAGCAAACCTCCCTGTCACCGGTCACCCATTTTAAATGGTCATATTATGCCGCTCTAGCAACAACCTAGTGGAACATAGTGGAACTATCAAAACCAAAAGAACTGCAATCACCAGTGCCCAAATGAGTTCCTCCTGGACAGTTCGAATCCCAAACCTTTTGGACCAGTAACTGAGTATCTCAACGGCTCCATCCATCCCTACTCCCTACCTTTTGTGACATGTGACATACATGAAGGTATGTGGGGGACAGGCCCTATTGGGGACAGGGGGTGGAAACATGTTGAAACACCTGAGGTTGACTGGTTGATTGTTTGTTCTTGCCCTCCAAAATCGAATTGAATGCATTGGACCATTGGACCGGACTGACCTCATATTTATTAACCTGGGTTGTCCGACCCAGTCCCAAGAGATCCTGACACCGATCCAACTCATTACGATCGTTTCGAAGTAGAAAGACTCGTCCCAGGAGCAGTGTACTGGAAGGGCTGCAAGGTCGGTTGATGATTGGGCCCTCTCATGAATTCCAAGCGTTCCTCAGTGACTTCTTCGCTTTTTTCGATGGACACATACGATGGGACTCTGCAGTGGCGAAAAACCACCCAAATTCCCCATCTTCTCAAGTACCTGGATCTTTTGCGAGGGCCTTCATGTTCACCAGCTTGGGGCATTATTTGTTGTTCACCTCAAACTGTGTTTTCAACACAACTCCGTTCTTTTCCACTCAAATCGCTCAAAAGCTTTCTGGGCAAACATCCAGATCTCCTCATCCAGCTCGATCATCACCACGTCCGGATGCACCGTCGAGATCGCGGAGATCACGTCGCGTTCCTCCGGCGGCACGGGACCAGCGGTTTCTCTTCGTTTTCACGTCCGACCGGCGGTCTCGGATGCCTCGTTTCGCGAAAACATGCGAAAACGCGGAGAGATCATGGCGGGGAAGACACTTGTTTCTTTTGGAGATCACGGTCTTTGGCTCAATGTCGGCATGGCATCTTGGAACGATTTTGGATTTCTAGTGGCAAAGAAAATGCAGATTGAACTGTTTCATCATTTTTCCATGTCTATGTCCAAGTTATCATGGCGACTCCAGAATATCGATGCAGACTCCGATAGATCCTTTTGGATCCTTGCTTCTAGCTCATGTCATCCTAAGAATTGGTAAATGACTGACCAGGTCGCTCTGTCATCCCAAGTTCAGCTCTGACGACACTTCCTCTGAATCCTGAGCATGGCCTACCCTCACAAGTCATAAGACTTGTATGGGCGGGAGTGCACTTGGCGCAGTTGCACACCTTGGTTTGGAGGTACTTTATGGTACTTTCATGTACTTTCCATCATGCAAACCTCCGAGATGACTCCCAGGCAGCCTGCTCCGCCTGTCAAACATCAAATAAGTCATTCACAGCCGGGCGGCCGAACGCGGAGAGATGTGCAACGTGGAGACGATATACCTCGGCTCCGAGATTACGGGAGGTCTCAGATGAAAGACAGTGCGGCGGATCTCGTAGGGTCATCGTTGACCCGGCGAATGGCGCCATTCATTCCGACGGTGTGACTCTGATTTTTAGTGATGCCTGCACATCGGGGTGAAGTGACGGCCCGAACCTTCACGGACTCACCTAAACCATCCTGGACCATCCGGAGCAGCCCACATCATATGCCGATCAAATCCCACCAAACTACTTGGACTGGTTGGTGTCTCGAACAATGCTACCCATCTCAGCGAGTTCTTCACGCACTTGCCACCCAGTGGCACGTCCTTGCCATTCACAGAAGCACGGCCACAGGTGTATGGAATCCTTGATTGCTGCAAACGTCACACAGAACTGTGGTTGCAAGACCGACACAAAACTGCGGTTCCTTCTGCCGATGTGGTACTTGGGGGCATCGCACCTTGTGCGATCTCTCAAGCCGGACCTGTCACCGGATTGCTGATACCACCATGATTGCTGCGAAGCGGAAGCGGTTGTAGCTCCAAAGGTCGTCACAGTTTCTGGTGTTTGCTCATGTACTTGTGTTTCATCTGAGGCTTGTCTGCCCAGGGTCTCTTTGTCCTTCGCCGAACGTAAGTGCAGCACGCGCCTGGCGGGGCGGGCGTCGTAGCGGATCACGTTCCGTTATTCCTCAAACAGTGTGGACACCCTAAGCGGGTCTTACGGTAAGGGACAAGCAGGTGTGCTTAGATAGGTGTGCCGCCTGGGCGTGTGCGGCTACTTCGCTTCTAATTATTTACAGTGCATTCATGCTTCTCGAAATCGTCAATGTGCATTTCGACTGCGCAGGCTCGCTGAACCTGGGGGCCGGCGGCGGGTGCTTCTAGCGACTGCGCTCTCGTTGTGGTGCCATGCGCATTTTCGTGCATGGTGCCACTTTTCGTGGCGGGCGCAAGGGAAACCTTATGTTTTGGTGCTCCAAAGGCGACTTTTCGTGACAGGTGCAAGGGATCGGAACTGTTTTACTTCGAAATGCAGTTTTCGTGGCAGGTGTAGCGCTTTGGACATGGCGGTGATCGTCAAGGAGCTCAGATTTCGAAACAGGTGCAGTGAATCGTGACTTTTGGACATGTGGCTCATTTGCAGATTTCGTGGCAAGCGCAGCACTCTGCGACCCTCGATGTGCAGATTTCGTGGCAGGCGCAGCACTTTGTGAACCTCGAAGTGCAGATTTCGTGGCAGGCGCACCACTTTGTGAACCTAGAAGTGCAGATTTCGTGGCAGGCACAGCACTTGGTGAACCTCCAAGTGCAGATTTCGTGGCAGGTGCAGCCATTTGGTGAACCTGTCAGTGCAGATTTCCTGGCAGGCACAGCGCTTGGTGAACCTCGAAGTGCAGATTTCGTGGCAGGGACAGCACTTGGTGAACCTCCAAGTGCAGATTTCGAAGCAGGCGCGCTACTTTGTGAACCTCGAAGTGCAGATTTTGTGGCAGGCGCGCTACTTTGTGAACCTCGAAGTGCAGATTTCGTGGCAGATGCGCTACTTTGTGAACCTCGAAGTGCAGATTTCACTCACTCACTCACTCACTCACTCACTCTCTCACTCTCTCACTCACTCACTCACTCACTCACTCACTCACTCACACACTCACTCACTCACTCTCTCTCTCTCTCACTCACTCTCTCTCTCTCTCACTCACTCACTCTCTCCACTCACTCTCTCACACTCACTCTCTCACACTCACTCTCTCACTCTCTCACACTCACTCTCTCACACTCACACTCTCACACTCTCTCTCACACTCTCTCACACTCTCTCTCACTCACTCACTCACTCCCTCCCTCCCGCCCGCACGCACGCACGCACGCACTCACTCACTGACTCACTCACTGACTCACTCACTCACTCACTCACTCACTCACTCACTCATTCACTCACTCACTCTCTCACACTCACACTCTCACACTCACACTCTCACACTCACACACTCACACTCACTCTCACTCTCACTCTCTCACACTCACACTCACACTCACTCTCACTCTCTCACACTCACTCACACTCGCACTCACTCACTCTCCCACTCTCACTCTCACCCACTCCCACTCTCACTCTCACTCTCACCCACTCCCACTCTCACTCTCCCTCTCACTCTCACTCTCACTCTCACTCACACTCGCACTCACTCACTCTCCCACTCTCACTCTCCCCCAATCCCACTCTCACTCTCCGTCTCACTCTCACTGTCTAGATCTCTAGACTTTCTGCTTATAGACCTCACACACACACACACTGTTTGGGTTCTCTTGCCGGGATAACTTTTTTGTTGGAGCATCATGTTCCGCGTTTCATGTGCCTCGACACAGCTTACAATCTTTTCCATAGTCACTGGATTCCTATAGGACTTGTAGGACTTGGGACTCTGAAATTAGTCGAACACTCCCCGTCTATCCGGTCCATCTGCCCGCGAGGGACGTCTGCCAGGTCAAATCAACGCTTAAAGGCTGGCTTAAGAAGAGAGCCCTGTGGTATCGAAAATAACGATTTTTCATCCGTTCTGGGGTGGAATCAGGACATGATTCCTGGGTATTCATGTGTTTAAATGTTTAAAGTTAGTTTTCTCCCCTTAGCCTCGTGAAGTTCTCCAAGCCAATTCCACCCTTCTCACCCTAGGGGGTGCTCCTCTTCTGTGATCAAACGACGACACCCTCAGTGTCAAAGCTCCCTTTCAAGGATGAAAAGAATGTCTGCAGAAGCCGACATGGGTTTCCAGATGCACCCCTCCCTTCAAGCTCAGGTTCCTTAGTTGCATCCAAACACTTAACATCAAACATCTAATAACTAACCACTATCCTTCAAACCTGCTGCTTATCATGTTGGTTCCTCACTGCTGTTCAAAAGCACTCAGGATCTTCCTGACCCCTTGCCTCCCAACTAATTACCTTTCGACCTTTCGATTTAATTTGGACCAACGGGGCAAACGATAGATCTACGGGGGATTCATCGAACAAATGGTCGAGATGAACGGTGATGAACAGTGAGTTGTCAGAGTTAATAGATTGGGCGCTCGAGATGGTCGTGACCGTTCTTCTCAGCCATGGGTCGAAGGGGAAAACAAACAAGATCAAACAAGTATTCACCAGTATTGGGTATGATTCGCTTTAGTAGTTTCAGTGGAGGATACGGGTCAGTATAACATGCTTCTCCCAGACATATTGTCTTTGACTGACCGTTGCTGAAATATTTATTATCTTTTGACCGACGGTTATTGGTGGTCCTAGTTCTTGCTTTTTGTTCCGCATTCCTTGGATGTCACACGGATTCCGGCCCGTCTCGACCCATCCCCCCACGCCGCAACAGCAACTCGCCCGTGCGCACCACAAGACCATGAGGGCCAGCAACACGGAAGCGAGGATCCACGACAGCATGGAAGAGTTTGCGCCTCAGTTTCGGAACATATGGCGCCTGTGATCCCCAAAGAGTATGTGTGGCACGGTTTTTCCAGGGATTTTGACATGTTCTATCTATTCTTGGGGGTCAAGATCTGTCTATATCACACTACACCGTTACACCGCACATACCAACCCAAGCTTTACCACGCAATGCTACCGATGTGATCCGATGTGCTCCACGGACCGTTCCAAGGAAGGGAACGAATGCAAGCGGTAGCACCGGAAGACTCGGGATAAACGGTATAGATCGCCTCATGAAAGCTCCTCCCTTTCCAAGGACCTCATGAAAGTCTGATAGAAGTAAAAGACATAACATCTTAAATATACATGACCATCCAAGACCAAACGACCTCGATGGCTGCAGACTGAATCTAAAATTCCTCGGATTGCTCTGATTACCTGGTGGCGATTCATGGCTGATTCTGCAGTGTTCAGTGTCAGCAGGACTTGTGGACAGCGCTAACTCAAAACTCCACAAAGACAATGGCCAGGATCCGGAGAACAGCATGAGCGCCCCTAAGAATAGGGACCCTTGCGCTTACGTGTTTTGAGTTGCTCAGACTTGAGACTCATCGAGAAAAGGAGTTCTCCAATGTGTTGAGCCCGATCACGCCGATCAAGGAAATTGTAAGCTGCCTGGCCTGACCCTACAAGTACTGAAGTACCAGCTGCAACGTTGCAACCCTCCAGTATGCGGAAGAAGCGGCTAGAGATCCAATAGATCGCCAACACGCTGGCTGTCGACAGGACCAGGTCGAGGAAAATCCTCATGTCGCACTCTGGAGAAGGACGAGGACGATCACGTGAAAAAACTTTGTCGAGAACACTCCTCAACCCCACTCCTTCTGGCGTTGCAAGCAAATCTTATTGGTACGGCTTCAATCCGCTTCACAACTCTGACACTTCAAGTAGACAAACTGTCCAGGACAACATCAAACCCATGATCTAAAAACCATGCCTGTGAATGCTGACAAAACTTTCGCTTCACTACCCCCAAAAAAATCTATCTCCCCAAATCAACATAGTTGAATTATGTCTTATAGTTGCTTGATTTCCAAATCACCAAAATCCTTGTCCCAAATCCTTCCCAAGAGAGGTTGAATGACCTTGTAGGACCCTGCTAGGGTACCTATGGGATAGTCTATAGGATCCCTCAACCTCTGTTGGTCCCCCATCACTGTCACCGCTGGTCCAAGTCTCTGCAGCCCAGTCTTCGCCCGCATCCGCCAGCCCTCCCTCGACGGCATCGATGCGTCGTCGGCTGAGGGGTCAGCATCCTCAAGAGCCTCCAGCGCCTCGTTGTCGTGGTCACGGAGCGGATCGCGCATGGCCGGCATCAAGTACATCGGGACCAGCGAGAAACAGGTGCTGCGTATTTTCTGCTGAAAGCGTGAGCAGTTCTGTCTGCCTGATGTTGTGACTGTGTTGGGAGGTGTGCCTTTTGGGGGCAAGTGGCCAAGGCAAAAGTCTGGATCATATTTCTTGGCGGCAACGGGAAGATGCACTGGTTGGCATTCGTTGGCGTACAAACCCTTCCTGAGTTTGTGGGCAAAGCATGGCAAAGCAAGTGAATCAAAGTATTTGGCCGCCAGTTCGGCAAACAGTTCTTGCACCAAATCAACAAAGCCTCACTCACCGTTCACCTGTGGTTTTTCCCCAAAACCTGCCAGTTCACGCTTCCATGAGCACCCTGCCCTAATTAGCCTGACCACGGTGAGTGCTACAGTTCCGGGGTGACTTCACTCTGTTCGGATGTTGCGTGGGCTTGGATGCCCCCACCCCAGACATCGACTCTTCTGAACCCGAAGGTCGCGGCGGCGGTCCGGTCTGCCGTGCCCCGTGATGGTGTCATGGTGCGGTTGAAAAGGGAGGTGGGTATCTGCTACCGTGGAATTACTTTACTTCGAGTGATCCCAGCCATGACATTCCAAAACAGCCACATACATTGACATCACCCTCGTTGTGTATTTCAGCCCATAGCACAAGTCCTTCAGCGCCAAGTCTTACTGTTTTGTCCGAAGCGAATGCTTTCATCAGGAGACCTGTGCACAACTACAACTCAGATCATTTCAGTAGTAGTCCTACTGGGCGGCCTAAAACAGGGAAACTTCCGGGGCCCGAGTAGTAGTAGTAGTAGTAGTAGTAGTAGTAGTAGTAGTGGTAGTAGTGGTAGTAGTAGTGGTAGTAGTAGTCGTAGTAGTAGTCGTAGTCGTAGTCGTAGTAGTAGTGGTGGTAGTAGTAGTAGTGGTGGTAGTAGTAGTAGTAGTAATAGTCATAGTAATCGTAGTAGTAGTAGTAGTAGTAGTAGTAGTCGTAGTCGTAGTCGTAGTGGTAGTGGTAGTGGTAGTGGTTGTGGTTGTGTGTTTGCGGTTGTGTTTGTGGTTGTGTGTCTGTGGTGGCGTTTGTGATTGTGTTTGTAGTTGTGTGCTTGTCATTGCGTGTTTGTGTTTGTGGCCGTGGTTGTGTTTGTGGTTGTGTGTTTGTGATTGTGTTTGTGGTTGTGTGTTTGTGGATGCGTTTGTGATTGTGTCTGTGGTTGTGCTTGTGGTTGCGTCTTTGTCGTTGTGGCTGTGGTTGTGTGCTTGTCATTGTGTGTTTGTGATTGTGGCTGAGGTTGTGTGTTTGTGGTTGTGTGTTTGTTGTTGTGTGTTTGTGGCTGTGTGTTTGTGGCTGTGTTTGTGGTTTTGTGTTTGTGGTAGTGTTTGTGGTTGTGTTTGTGGTTGTGTGTTTGTGGTTGTGTGTTTGTGGTTGTGTGTTTGTG